CTTTGCGCAGGCATTTCAAAATTCCAGAGACAAGTCTAAATTGCATCCCAGTACAGGAAAACAATGATGATATCCAAGCATTGCCCTATTATCTTTTTTTTTTTTCCACAATGTATTTAATGACCTAAGAAAGTTACAAAAGCAACTTTAAATTACACTTACATATATAAACTAATTAAATATATTTAGCAAACATTGAGAAAATAAAATCCCAAGCAACATGAAGACAAAAAACATTATGAGATGACTTATTCTAGAGTAATTTAAGACTTTTTCCCGAGTCTCTGGATGTAGCAGTCAAGTGAACACTTCCTTCGAGAAGTATTACTTGTGGTTAGAGACCACTGAAAGCTTATCTTGTTATTCTCCTTTTAGAACAGCAAATGAGCAATTAGTCCAGCATTAACTTCTGCAGTTTTTATTAAGTTCTATATTCTGGGAGAACAATGTTATTACTTATTCCACTTTTTTTGCCACTTATTTCAGTCGAGTGGCAAAATTCCTAGAAACTTCAGTGGCATCCGGATTTTTAACAGTAAGACCACAGATTTGTTAGACACTGAAAGACAAAATGGTTAAGAAGTGTGGCTTGCAGGATAATAATAAAAAAGGATATGCAGATAGCTATGCACATGTATGTTTCAACTCATTCAAGATGAAGGAAATCACAGCTTAAAATTCACGTGGCACATGAAGGTATCTGTTCGAATGCCATCAATTAATATTCTAAGTCACATGCGGTGAACACATTCACAAAGACTAAAATAAATAACAGCTACTTTATTATCTAAGAATACTTGAAAGTGTGGCATTTCCTGACAATGCTTAGAGAGAATCATCAAGTAAAAGAATGCAGAGGTCATAAGAACTTGTGAAACCCCGACAATTGCTAGTTTCCACTTAGTTTTCTCATGATAGGGCTGTCAGGTTCAGCGTTAGTGAAAATACTTCCTACAACCACATGAGTACCCCAGATGTTATGACGAATAACTTTGCAGCAGCCAAGATCATCAACAGAAAATCCCAAGTGGCGGTAGCGTTCATCTGTTTCAAAGAGAGTGTTGTTTGTGTAAGGTCCAAAAAACTACGTGGGGGGGGAAAAAAAAAAAAAGAGAATTTTTCACATGAATATTTCCAAGAACATCTAAAATGTCAGAACTACCTCTTCTTAAAACAGAGTCTAAACCCAAAAGTACCAGTTACGTCTGTTGGAAGGAGTTGTACATACAGTTTTATTCATGAAATCTACACAGGATACTAGGCAGAGTGCCTCTGGTTATACTGGTACCCCGTATTTAAAGATTTCCCTTTGTCACTGACGGAACACTGAAGGCACGTCAGTGTGTTTGCACATCTCATCAATCGTACGTACAAAACCCCTCAAGTGCTTTGGGAAGGTTCTCCTACTTCTACAGGCATTAAGGGTAGAACCCTTCTGTGAAACAGCAAAACCAAGACACCTACCTTTTCAGCGAGCCCCTGACAAAGAAAGATGCTTTGAGGAGCAAAAATGCGTGTAAGCTGGAAACATGTATCTCAGTTGCTTTATCTCAGGAGGAAGCCTCTGACCAGAAGCCTACTCCTGATGAACAGGTTATCGGCAAGGATGTTACTACTGAATCAGAGCCCAAAGACAGAACCCTGCTTTCACCAACCCATAACTATTCCTTAAATGCACAGGACAAATGGGAAGCTTTTAAGCAGTACGCACACCTTCAACCGCCTGTTCACCGCATAAAGATTCCCTGTTAAAACAATTTGCCTCTGTTGACACAGTAAATCACTCCATTTCATAGTGGGTTTTAAGTAAAAAACCCACTAAACTAAGCTTTGCCATGATTATGTTCAACTATGATATGGTTTTAACAGTTCTCAGACAAAAATACATATACTCTCAGGCTTTGATAGAAGCTTTCTCAATTCTCTCTTGTAAATTTTAAGATTCTTTATGCTCTACAGATGTCTTGGTAAGAAACTGTCAGCTCCTCCAGAGAACTGGCATCAATGAATACTAACACTGTTTAATAGGAACAAACTATTCTTATTTTCTACGTAACAAAGATATCGTTAACTATGGCAAAGAGACTTTTTAAAACCCTCCCTCTACACAAATAGGTGTCAGGACTACCAAGTTACCTTGGGAGGGCATAACCAGCCTATTGTGCAGTGACCAAGAGCTTTCGGGCATAAAACTTTCAGAGTCATCTAAAATTCAACTTCATTGCTGAACAATGTTCTCCAAATTGCCAACAGCAACGACAGCTGACACAGCATGGGAGCCAGCTCAGGGTTACTATCCTATCTTAATTTATGAAGGGAGTTATCCGATGGTAACAGCTTTCAGGCAATATGAAAAAGTTGGATTTAACCCACAGAGAATACAAATACCACTGCTAGTTAGGACACAGCAGTGCCCATTGCATGTTCCACACAGCATGTAACTTACTGCCAGTCCTGAGGATGGATCGATGAAGTCAGCCCAATAGCCTTCAGAAGAGATTGCATAGCAGATTTCCTTGGCACCGTTGATGAACTTGAAAGAAAATAAAGAGAAAGAAGGATATCAAGTGACATTTTTGTCACATATATACATACACACGCATCAGAACACATATAAAACATTCTGAAAATGAACAAGCGTGGATTTCTTTTGGCCTCTACTAATAAATGAGAAATTCAGCCCACTTTCAATAAAAATATTAATAATATTAAGAGGATTATAATGGCATACATTTGACTACTCCAATCATATGAGATTTATTATTACCATTATTCATGCAGACTGCAATGGTACCCGTTACCCTCTTTAAGAAGTCACCCATTACTTCAGGTATTTCTGTGTTATTTCCACGACTTTACAGATGTCACCTAAACTCCATAAATTTGACGCTAAATGTAACATTAGATATATATTTATAAATATAGGAAAAAAACATAGTTTTGCTGTTAAGTTCTTACCTCAGCCTACAGGACAGTGTTATGTAGTTCTTCCTGCACTACAAATGCTTAACTGCAAATGATCTTAAAGAACGTTTTAGTTTTGCATCATGATTACAAACAGTTCCCTAAGCACTTGACTTTTACACCAATCTACACCAATTCTCTTGTTGTAATGAACTGGCAGGTCAGGATGAATGATGGTTTCAAACTCTCCCACTATTTGACCATCAAAGTTGTAGGTCACATTTCAGCTACAGGGGAGGACACCAGCTGATGTTCCTGAAAATAGTATTTTCAATTAGGCAACATGCCAAGCGGCTCCCTGTTCTGGTACACATCATCAAAAACCTCCCTTCTCTGAAAAGACAGCTTAAAGAATCTACCTTTTTTGTAGCAAAACTTTTCACATCAGCTAATTTGAGAAAATAAGCTTCTTTTTTTTTAAAAAAAAAAAAAAAAATCTTTGGTGCCGAGTTGCAGTTATCTGTTTGTCAGATACAGAAGAAAATTCAACCAGGTAGATTTGAAGCTGTGCTCCTTTATGCTGACATCACAACACAAGGCACAAAAGAATTACACAACCTACAGGTTACACAGCACATTTTTTCCACAGATAAACCAGCAATAACAGGAAACCTCAGTTATGTGCTTTTAATCCCCTAGGCCAGCAGTTTTCAACCCATGTTATAATGGCCAGCAGGGGCCTGTAGAAACCTTCTGAAGAAACCTGCAAAGGTGAGTGAGGAAAAAAAAAAAGCCAACACAAAAGTCGAGATATGTGATGGTTCTAAAAACCATCCATGCGCTGGGAGAACAACATGGCCAAGTGCAAAAATCTGAACAGCTGAATACACCGAGCTGGAATAAAGCACAAACAACTCATGTAACTTCCTCAAAATGTGAAATTCCCTGATCTCATAAAAAAATAAAGATTTCTAACTTCAGAATAAACATAATACTTTACTTTCAGTTATAAAAACATCAGACCATTCTCTACAGTTAGTGCCCTTAGCAGTTCAAGATTTCAAACTGATAGAAATATTATTACAGTTACTCAATTCAGGCCCTTTATGGTCCAAAAATAAGGGAATTTCACCCTTTACAGTAATCTGTTCTGTATTTTGCAGTTTGATGGCTCTGATTAACTATGTTTCAACTGTAAATTAAGTCACAAACATAAGCAAGCCATCTGCAGACAGCATTTTAGGCATTACATTTCCAAGACAGTACATCTTTTGATCCAGTGTTGCAACAACCCCTCAGCAATCACTTCAGAGTGCGGTTAATAAACACTTGAGATTTACTACTGTAAACATTTGGATTTGGCCGTACATAACCCTCATTACTTCAGCACAAGCCTCTCACATTAAATTAGTACTTTTAAGGTTACTTCTAACCACCTATGAAGCAAACAAACAGACCATTTCCTTGTGAATTTGCTGTTAGTAACCTTTCAGACGGGAGGTTACATCCAACATCCTAACACCCCTACAATGACTGTATTAGACTTGACAGGGAGGTGCACAAGGAAGAAAGATGCCAATTAACATATAATTAGACCAGATTACAACGCCAAAGACCAACAGACCATAAATAATTCAAAGAGAAGAACACACTAAAATGAAGGGAATTTTAATTTGTGTGTAATCTTTATGTTGATCCTTCTTCCTTTTTTTGTGGTAACCCTTACACTGCTTTACACAGGCCACATTTGCAATTTCCAGGATTGAAAAAGGACATTACCAGACTGTTTTCAAACACAAATATGACTGTCACCATACAGATGAAAATCCCATAGAATGATTCTTACTAGTTTTAGAAAAATTAGAACAAATAACATGCAGAAACATGTTTTGAGGTGCTAAGAAAAGACTAAGTGGTGAACACTGACACCTGCTGGAGTCCACACACAAAAAACCTGAAGAATGTGAGATAAAGCAATTTTCAGGGAGACATCTAGCGGCAACAGAACAAGACACCAAAGTTCATGAGGATGACTAAGATGTAATAAATATAACCGATACCCAGGCTAAAAGCATTAGCCATACCGATTATCAGAACGGAAAAAACCCAAAGCAACCACTTTTTACAAGTAAGGATGCAGTCATCAACAGACTCTGTACTGGAATCTCAATTACATCACAGAAAAACAGAGGGAGCAGTGAAAATGCGTTGTATTAAAGCTGAAATAAGCTGAGAAAATAGTTACTGCCCTGGAGCTGCAACAGGACAACAATCAAATATCTTTATTAATGTAGCGCACTCTTTTACACCATTTTAGCTTATCTTTGACTCACCCTGCGATAAAGAATTTAATAGCTCTACGAGACATTTCATGTTGAGTAGTCGCAATGCTACAAAGCTGGAAAGAAAGTTATCTCCGATGTATCAGTAAGAGAACATAGGATTATGCTCTAAAAAGTAATGCAGGATATTACTACCAGAGCTCAAAATGGACCAAAATACAGACACAGTTTACAGAAGATTCATCTACAAACAAAAATAAGCCAACGCTACTGTCAGCTACTTACATTTTCTAACAGCATCTCTCTCTCATCCTCCACTTCTTGACTCCATACAGTCATATCATTTTTAGTCTTCTGGGTGACAGTTAATACCGTTAAACGGTTGGCATTCATTTCTGGAAACATTGACTCAAAATCTAAAATAAGTGAAACCGGCACGTTATCGCTTGCTCTTATATTTTACTTACGTTTTTTCAGTTTTAGACAATTATTGATCCTACTTTATAGCCTTCCTTTCATTTAAATCCAAGATACGTGTGCATTTTTCACATCAGATCCAGCAAACGGCATGCTGGTTTGAAATGCTGATGCTGCTTTTGTGGAAACTAATGCACCTTGATCAGGTCCTGTTAAAAGCAGCTTCGGCAACGGAGTTTACTATTTCAAGACCTCCTATTTAATTGCAAGATGATAAAGCCCCATTACTCTGCAAGTTTCAGAATGCACAAACAAGGGCCTTTGCAAAGATACTCCACCAAGTATAGTAACGTTTTAGTATTTCCAACCGAACACCACCACAGTTCTCCACACACATAAGGTGTGAAGACCCTTATCTTCTGGCTAAGCCACGTTACGTGATTTTTACACTAAATCTTTCAGTAGGAATGCCTTGGATCTATGTCCTAGGACATGACAGCAGACCCAACATCAGTAGTGTACTATAGGCACGAATTGTGATAGTTCTTCCCCCTCTCTCTATATCATGACAACAAACAGCAATGCACGTGGAGCAGCAAAGTCACAATTAGGCTTCATGGAGCCTTGTTGTCAGTGTGGGAGGAAAGAGCACTGTCTACAAATAAAAGGCAAAAGTTTCGTCCGTTCTTACTCTGAAAAGTCCGCTCTCTTCATCTAGACCAAGATTTCAGCCAGATTTCAGTCTTTCCTCTCTCTATCACACTTAAAAACCAGAAGGTTTCATTCCAATTTAATTTCAATCATTTCCTTCTTGAACAATAAATAAAGATACAAAAGCAATGCGTTTAATAGTTTTATAATTTCAATTTGCTATTTTACTAAAAGCAATGCCAAAAGATTTGATTTTGTCACAAACTGGATTTTGGATGGTGAATCAGCTCCAGAAGCTACCTGACACTAAAGAAGTAGCTGAAAGTTACTCCCCACCCCAGATGATCTTGAATTTAAATGACACTGAATTTTCTACGAAATACAAAGTACTGTCAACAGCAAAGTTTCGGTTTTCATTTTATAGTACATATTTTTCTTTCGTAAAACATTAACTGTGGATTAGCCTTTTCTACTGCACATTCTGTGGCATCAGTTACATCAGAGCATTTACTTACATAGTTTTACATTTTAAAAATAATTTCTTAGCTGTTAAAAAAAAGACAAAATATACCTTTTCGTAACAGTTCAGGACAAACTTGTACCGCACATTCTACCTTTGCATTTTCAAAGTAAGTTTCGGCGTTATTTATTTGCTGTTTCTGTGGAACTTCAGCACCCTAAAAAAAAAAATGAAAATTGTAACTTTCCCCTTCGTTATACACAACAGGAATAAGTTTGTACACCAGGATATGTTTTTGTGACTAAATGGCCACTAATACACCCAAGCAGTTTCACAGAAAGATCATTTGCAATGAGACTTAAATTATTTTTTTTAAATATTAAAAACGGAGCAGATACAGGCATAACCTATTGCTTAAACCCCTACAGAAGTTTTAAGCTTTATGTATTATCGTATCTGTATTATCTCAAAGTCTTAACCAAATATAAACATTTTTGAAAAATATCCTTCTGAAACAATGGCCTCAAGTATTCAATACAACAGCAATTGATAGATTTCAGACATACACACATTACCCGAGCCAGAATAAAAATTTAAATAGTTACACAACAATTCTAGAGCTCTGAACTATTGTATTTTTAGCTTTAGCTATTGTAGCTTGGAAAACAGAACAGTTTTCCAATAATGGCATTTTTATTCTTGACAGTTTTTTTACTTCTGCAGTTTCAAAAAACCCAACCCACCAAAACAAACACAACCTCCCCCCCAAAACCCCCACATTCTTCTGGGTATGTTACAAATGGAGCACATGTATGTGGGATATACAGCATTTAAGCTTTAAATGCACTTAAGAAGGCAGCTGCCACCTTTGGGATAGCAACTGTTACGCAATAGGTGAAGAATGCCTTCATACAGTTTTTATACTTCTAACGATGCCATAATCTACAACAATTTTCAGGAAGTTTCTCTCAGACTGAAATGTACTACTCAGCCTTGTAATTAACTCCTACCTAACACCTGTTTGTATCTGAAAGTTCTCCCTGGAGAAAGCTGTTACTCTGAAAACACAGCGTGGCTAGCATTTTTGTTCTAGAAATTAACATTCAAGAATAACAGAAGAAAAACCAGCAAAAAACCCCCACAACAATAGACAAACAACAGACATTAACTGCACACACGTTTCAGTACATATGTTTCCACATATATCTTGCGGTATGATTGCAAAGTCATTGGGCCAGATCAGTTGGTACTTTAAGCCTGACAAACCACACAGTTAGGCTGGTAAACTTCTTTTCTTTCTAACTACAAGACTCTTCTCTTACTACAATGGTAGTTGCTTGTGATTTGTTGTCTACTACTCCCATTCTAGCTGGCTCACCACCACTCACATAGTACACAGGCTTAGCAGGCACGCTATCATGAAGAGACTACGGCCATTTTCCAAAGATCAGTATCACTTTCTGATATTGATAGGCTGGTAGGCCCATTTTTCTGGTCACATGAAACGAATACATCAGTCTCGGGTACACAGAGGTCAGCGAAGTTTGCCATTTCTCTGACTGGTTCAAGGACCGGTGCATGAGCTTCAGCAGCACCGAGCTTTTCTCCTGTTTGCTGCAGCAACCTATGAGAGGTTCCTGTATCCAGCTGATCCCAACATTCAAATCTGGGTCCTCTCCTAGGAGGAGTAGTTTAGCTTTTTTGTTAGCGAAATGCTCTTCATGGATTCTGGTATGAAGCAGAGCTAACGAGCTGACTTTCTGAAGACCAGCTGCCTCTGCTCCTTCCAGTTTCTCCCTGCCATTTCCAACAGCAGCAGCTGCACCAGGCATTTCATTAACAAGTAATCTTGCTAGAAAGCAGACGTGCATTCAGCACACCTGGTTTGCACTGAATGAACTCCACCAGTGTTTTCTGTCAGGCTTTTGACAGAAAGTACAATCCATGCAAGCTGAAAACAGAATCTGGGGAGCTCACCAGAAAAGCTTATGCTTTCTGAATACTTTGGAATACAATGCTACGTTTACAAAACACAATATACAGCGTTTTTACAATGGAGATTTGCTAGCTGACTTCCAAAGTCTGACCATGTCACAAACTCAGAGAGCCAGGAAAGCTGAGTCAGCAGCTTGTAGTGATAAACATCTGTTGAAATGTTACGTCACACTACCAATTATCAAGCTGCTTGTTGTTAGTAACGCATCTGACTTGCTGCAAGCTCCACCATTGCCAAAATGAGGTCTCATTGTAAGACTTGAGGTACATTGATCTGCTTCTCCCATGTGAATTCAATGGCTGTCAGAACTGAGGCAGATCTAAACACTGTCCAAGATCCGTTAAATGAAATACTGAAGGAACTATCAATTCCATTTGATAAAAGGTGGTGAGATTTGGTAAACTGCCAAGTTTTGAAACTGAAGTTTTCCTTTCCCATATCCATATAATTGAGTCACTACTAAAATGCTGTTTCACTATGACCTGCTTAGTCAAAAACACCACACCCTGAAATATTTCCTTCTCCTAAAGGAAAAAACTTCAGCTAGGTTCTGTGTAATCTCTCAGGCACCCCAGCTGAAGTTCATCTTTCAAAACCATCTAGAAAATCAAAGATATCTTTTTTCAGGCAGAAGAGAGATTAGTTATGTTTCTCTTAAACAAGAGATATAAGTTTCACATAGAAGCAGCCTGTCCTTACCTGAAATTCATTTATGTATTGTGCCATTACAAATTCATGCCTTTCACTTGCTGAAGGCTCTGCTAATATATCAGGCAGACTTTTTGAAACTTGGCTTTTCTTCTGAGAAGCAGTGCCATTTAGGTGACAGTCAAAACCAATATTACCAGGCAACTGGAACCTCTGGTCCTGAGGACCAAATGGACCCATCACTTCATCTGGCCATACAGTTCTTGGACCTGCAAAAGTCAAGGCCTTTCTTTAGTCATCACATTTAAAAAGAAGGTGGGGAAAAATAAAGGGGGGAGAAAAAAAAACCCTCTCCCATACAAATATCTGTATTTGATCACAACCATATACAAACAAAGTAACCGCAATGCACAAGTACAAGGGCGGGCTCTGACATAAAAAGCACACTTCAGAATTCCCAGTTTTATATGGGGTGCAAAGTTCTGATAGCACACGAATACAAAGAAAATGAATTTGCTTTTTCTTACATAAATCAGGAGGTGTAGCAGCAACATGAGGCTCATCTGAGCCAGAGGAACCTGCTGTAGAAAAAGCCCTGGGATTTACAACTCTTTTGACTAAGGAATAAAACCCTGGTAGGTAGGTGACCAATCTTGCTCTGTTACAGAGCACCTGAGAAGACAAAAACAAAATAAGTATTACATACTGCCAGCAAAAATATTACTTTAAGTACAGCTTTGTGGATCACAAGAGAAATCCTCGCTTGGTAATTAAATTACAACTTTAATTATGATCAACTATGTTTCTGTAAAATCAAGTTTTAAAAGTATTTTATCATTACTTTTATAATTTACTAGTAATAGTATTCTAAGTCAAGGAAAAGCCTCAAACACACTTACTGAAAGGTCTTCTCGTGGTAGGAAAAAAAACCCTGAGAAGTTAAATAGCACCACTGAAACCCCACAACCTAAACTACATTACGAATGAGGATTGTTTCCATGACTATTTCCATGCATGTCATTGTTTCTATGACTGCCACAATTCAATCACAGGACTGATTATCAGAAATACCTAGAAATACTGTTAATTAAGTAAATGCTGATATCCAAGACTTTTACCTTGAAGGCCAAAGCACAAGCGTTAGCCAGCCTATATTCCTACTTCTTAAAGACTGGAGGGAGACACAAGATAGTATCACCCCAGCTACATCTTGTAGCTTCCATCTAGAAGCACACGTGCATCATGCTTACATGTATTTCTTTGCCAGCAAAGTGCATGTACTAACAGCTCTGAACTACACAGGGAGATATGCCCATCAAAACAGGTAGGTGTGGTAATTTCAGCTTCTTTCTTTCGCTCTCAAAATCCATAAATGTTCAACACGTGCAATACTTAAGGTAGGGCAGCCAGTGGTTTTTAGATTTGCAAACTCCTTGCCTTCACATCTTTATAAACAAATGTTTCTGCAAACAGGTCAGTATCATGGGCAAAATGCCTGTAAGCCATAAAGCCTTTATGAATTCTGTGGTCTTGGAATACCCCACAAAAATCTGCTTCCCACCGCAGTCGTACTGTCAACGTAACTTTCAATTGCTGAAGGTGATTCTGTCAGAAGCTGATTCAGCCACACAGTCAACAGCAAATGATGCAATGCTATCCCTGCGAGCGTGCAAATGGTCTCAACAACGGGGCTGCAAGGAGCTCAGGCTCCTCACCATGAAGATTAACTCTGAGGCCCAATGACAGTATCTTAAGTAGTAATATAAGCAACCATTACTGGTTTTTGTTGGGTTTGTGTGTTGGCTTGGTTTTTTAGAGAAGAAATATCCAGGTGATGCGATTAAACTGAAAAGTCTGATCTATTTTTTATACTCTAAAAACGGATTGACAGCTTTCATGATGCATTTACACACGCATAACAAAAAATAACCAATCATACGCTCAAAATATTAGAATTAGAAGTGCAATTTAAAAAAAAAATTAAAGACTACTGAACTCTAGCGCAGCATTACCAATACCCTTGACTACAGTTGCACAAAAGCACGCATTACTGGAAAATATAAATCCCATCTGCTATCACGTGTGCTTTCATAAAACTTTATTTTCCAGGCGAGAGAAAGAAATTCTTTTGAGAAACTCACATAAAGGGATTTTCCTTAAGTGCCGTATTCTTGATTCTAGAAAAGTTTGTGCGTGTGTACACTAAATATATATGCAACCAGGTTACTTCAAAAAAATAAGTGAGAAAATGGTACTATTTGTATGTTTAAGATAAAAACTCTGTTCCAAGGATCAGGACCTAAACCAGTTAAGCATCAGTTTCTTACGTACCACCTCTGCATAAACATACAATGTCTAGTTAAAGTTCTACCAGAATCATGAAGGCTCAAATGCAGAAAGGCATGTTTGATTTTTCTGACTTAAATTGAATATTTATGATAAAAAAAATAAGTGAGAAAATGGTACTATTTGTTTGTTTAAGATAAAAACTCTGTTCCAAGTATCAGGACCTAAGCCAGTTAAGCATCAGTTTCTTATGTACCACCTCTGCATAAATATACAATGTCTATTAAGTTCTACCAGAATCATGAAGGCTCAAATGGAGAAAGGCATGCTTGATTTTTCTGACTTAAATTGAATATTTATGATTATGGCCTTAAGCTGCCTAGTTCTAATACACCACAAGGTTTAAAAGGTTCCTGTAACAACAACAAAAGTCTGCTGATTCCACTTAAATGCTTTTTTCCTCTATTATGTATAAGCACTATTGAAATTAACTTTTGCATAATAATTAGAGATCAAACAGATGTAAACAATTATAGCTGACACGTAATTATAGGAAAAGCATTTTTTTCTTATCAGGATCACTTAACACAGAGATGTTAGCATTAATTACAGATATGTTGACTGAGCTCACTTATGCAAATATTTACACACCCAGCATTACACAAGCGAAAAAATACCGCTGAAATCAATAAATTATCCGTGTCTCCGTGGCAAGACTAAAGCAATAAAGGGTGTTTTACTCTTCAGTCTGAAAGTACCCTGGTGAACCCGAGTGTTTCAGCTTAATTCATGCCATTAAAAACAAAACAAACACTAAACAAGATCCTTCTTTGTGTTCGATTCAATTATTTCCACGATAGCCACGGAAATTGGGTTCCAAAGCTTAGGGGGACAATAGCACTGCTTTCTAACGAAGTTGTACCTTGCCATAACTGAGGTTTTATCAGTGACTCCCCCAGGAGCACGATAACGACAGCTTTAAAGGGGAAATAAAACGCAAGCGTCCCGCCCGGCACGGGGAAGCGCTCTCCTCCGACGGCGCCGGTTTGCCTCTCACCGGGACGAGGCGCCGGGGGTCTCACAACC